ATGTGTGCATAAGAATAGCTATATGCTTCTAGGTGTTATATCTAAGCCAATGAGACATTATTTGGAACCTCAATGAAAAAGATTTAAAAATATGTGAGCGGAAACGCAGAAAGAACTGCTTTGAAAGAACTCAAAGAAATAACTGCAAGCATACTTTACAAGTGAAGGGAAACATGCAATATGGATGCAGACAAACTCATGAAGACAGTCATTCAAAAATGCTGTGCTACCATCCTTTATAACTAAGAGTAACAAAGACAAAATCATTGAATAAGCTGCCAGTGATCAAAATATTGAATATGAAGTCATTGAAAACGATATTTTTGAGAATATGTCTGAGATCGTGAATATAAGCCAGATGCTGGATGTACTGGAAGTGCGCTCTGACGATGACAGTGATGGTAAAATCATCTGATCAAATTGAACCCTTTTAAGTTTCAAAAGGTAATGAAATATGCTTTATTTTATTCTTCTGTAATTGTTCTTAAAATATCAAGAGAGTTTTTTGCTATTGCAGCAGTTAGCGATCCATCCGTGCTGTATATATAGTTCCGGGTCGCTAAAGACCAGAATATGAAATAACGATTGGCAAAACATTCATGCATTTAAGGGTTAATGGAAGTTTAAATAAAAAAAATGCACATGCAATTACAATATGTAACTGATCGAACAAAAACAGTGGAGATCTGACAAAAACAGAAACAGAAGAAGTGAGGAATATTTAACAGCAGCGGTCACAGTGATGATGAGGCGAGCACCAGTGAAGTTTCTCTGGCCCGCTCCGTGTGTCTGCTGGGCGGCGATCAAACGGACAGGACAACGCTTTTCATGAGCGGAGATCTCTACTAGACGAATCATGTAATTTGTTATTTTTATTTTATCTCTGTTCTTTTGTCGTAAGTTATGCTATTACTCCAGTAATTTATACTAGCCTCCTATCCAGCACTCCCTGAACACAGTCTCTGGCTTATTGCCAGTCAAGCGCAACGCTGCAGGGACGCGTCTATAACGACTTTGATCTGATCATAAAGTCTTTCCGAGTCACAGGGCTCAAGTCCAATTCAAGTCTCGAGTCCTTGCTGTCAAAGTCTAAGTCGAGTCTCAAGTCTTCTTTAATTATGTCGAGTCGAGTCGCAAGTCATCAAATTTGGGACTCGAGTCCGAGTCGAGTCTCGAGTCGTGTGACTCGAGTCCACACCCCTGGTCAATGGTCCATTTGCTCAGGACGCGCTCAGGATAGTTCAGACATTGCAGTGCATCAGAGGTAAAAAACGATATAAGTACTGTTCAGTTTCTTGCACAGACCGATCGTTTAGTGTCTTTACACATAAATGTATCGTCACGAGCCGCAGGGTTTAATTTGGTTTTGTTTGTGTATGTTTTATGACTCTCAAAGCCGTGATTCCATTCACTTCCATTATATGACTGACAGACTGCAACGGTTTGACTTAAAAATCTTTGTTTGTGTTCTACTGAAGAAACAAAGTCACCTACATCTTGGATGCCCTGGGGGTAAGCAGATAAACATCACATTTTCATTTTTGGGTGAACTATCCCTTTAAGCAAAACATGGTCAGATCAAAGTGTCTGAATAGTATTTGGTCTCAAATGTTTATCAATTTTACTGGTAGTCCACTGAATGAAGAATTGTTGTATGTAACATGTCACAGTTTACTTTTTGCTATCCTCACTTACATAAATGAACAATAGTGTCCTGCACCCACTAGTAATAAAATATCAAAAATTATATCTGGTGTCTGAATAATGTTTGATTTGACTGTATCCTTGATGAATAAAAGATGATGATTGATGATTTTTTAGAAGTTCAAAAGAACAGCATTTATTTGAACTAGAACTTATACATTTTAAATACAACATTATAAATCTCTTTACTGTCACTTTTGAAAAGTATCAGTTTCTTTAAAAAGAAGTCTAATACTGACCCTAAACAGAAGTGTAATTAAAATGTTCATGAACAATAATGCTCTGTATTTATTTTATATTTCATGGATTTTGTGCTGTTTCTGCTGGTTTTAGTGTTTTTTTATGAACATAATATGGCATTTGTTTAATCTGTCAATGGTGTGCTGTGTTATTGTGATTTATCTACAATACCTTCATTTTGTTAGAGTTTAGCACTAACCAAAATAAGATCATGCAGACAGCCGTACGGTTTTCTTTGACTTCTTCGTGATCTCATTTGTGTATTTCTGTGAACCTCAGCGAATGTGGGTGTAACTGGAAGCATTGCTTTGAAGAGCCTAAATGCAGCCGGGCATTGATTGATTTCTGTTTAAATGACTGCATCATACTCTCTTTCTCCGCTATCATCCATTTTCGTTTCATTCTTCTTGTAGGCGTTAACGCTTTCATACTGCCAGGCGTGCATTCGCTCAGTAGATCAGCTCGAGCAAAAAACAATCTCAGATCTTTATACCAAACAATTACTAGACCATTAACTGAGCTATCAAAGACTCAAATGCTTTCCTCAAAGACTGTATTATGTCTGCTATCACAAATTTTGCCAGTGTGCTGCTTTTAAAGCATTTTCCAGAGCAAAGTTAATGTTCCTAAAAGCCTCTGCTAGAGCTGGGCAGGACTGAAATGCAGCAGTATAGAATATGCATATGCTTTTCACTCTAAAGCAGATACACTGCCATCCAAATGTTTAGATGTACTTTCATTTTTAGAATACTAGGACACGTTTAATTGATCAAAGTAAAGACATAAATGAATTTTCTCTAACTGCCTTGCAATGTTTCTCCAGGGAATCTTTCATTTCCAGCTGGGACGGGGGGAGCCTATGCTTCATACACGACTGCGGCCTCACTGCAAAGACTTTCTAGAAAAGATCGCCAAACTCTATGAGCTGCACGTCTTCACCTTTGGCAGCCGTTTATACGCTCACACCATTGCAGGTACATGAATAATACTGATAACTACTGATAGGTTATCCGAATTTCTCACCTGGTGGATGATAAAACACATCAAACAGTATCGTAACTCCTAGTGTTTGTATGAGAGATTGTGTTGGCCTTTCACAGTGACACCAGGTGGCAGCATTTGTTCATATTCTGAGTGTTTTGAGTTTGAGGATGAGTACATTGTTTGCTGTGTTTGGATATTTAATGCAACATATTAACAATAAATGCATCAAAAGTGTCATCTGCAAGAACCGTCCTGTTATCTGCTTTGATAAAAGTATCTGCTAAATGACTAATAAACATTAAATCGGTTTAGTGAGGTTCCATTTGTGGTGGTGTCTATTATACAAGTCTATACTAACCTATACATTTTTCAGTTCAGTTTTAGTTTTGGTTCAGGTAGGACTTTGCAGGCTATCTTCAGCACAGTAGGTTTCTCCGTTTCGGGTGTGTGTAGCATCCTTTGAACGAGACCTGAAGAGTTCTTGCATTTAAGTGTTTGGCAGCTCAGCATCGGTACTTCCCACAAACCCGAGTGAGGAGTCTGGTTGTGGTGATTCATATAGACACAATCAGCAGTAGATAAGACACAATAAAGGAAGTAGCTCAACTTTTCTGAATTGAAGTCTTGATTTATAGTGCGGGCAGGAGATTGAAAGCTTGGAAGGGCTGCATCTTTTTATTTTTCCTGTTTTCCTTTTATTACAGCTGTAAATAGTCTCAGTTCTGTCTGAGTGAAACTACAGCATTTACTGTTGTGCTCATAAGTTTACAATGTTAATAATTTTCACAAAATAAGAGGTATCATGAAAATTGCTTAGTTTTTATTTAGTACTGTCTTGAATAAGCTATTTCACATAACATGTTTATATGTAATAAATCTGCAAAAATGTCAACGATTCTGTGTTTTTCTGTCAATATGGGGTGCTGTGTGTACATTAATGAGGAAAAAAAATTAACTTAAATGATTTTAGCAAATGGCTGCAATATAACAAAGAGTGAAAAATTTAAGGGGGTCTGAATACTTTCCGTACCCACTGTATATACTCCACAAGACAAAATAAAACTGAATTTATAAAAATGACCCTGTTCATAAATCTTAATCTGTAACTCTTAATACTGTGTGTCATTTCCTGGATGATCCATGACTGTTTTTATGCTTTGTGATGGTTGTTCATGAGTCCCTTGTTTGTCATGAGCAGTTCAACTGCCCGCTGTTCTTCAGAAAAATCCTCCAGCTCCTACACATTCTTTGGTTTTTCAGCTTCTTCTGCATGTTTGACCGCTTTCCAGCAATGACTGTATGATTTTGAGATCCATCTTTTCACTCTGAGGACAATTGAGGGACTCAATTTGACCAAATTACAAAAGGTCAAAACATTTACTGATGCTCAAGAAGGCAACACAATGCATTAAGAGCTGGAGGGTGTAAACCTTTTGAATGGGATGATCAGGGTAGAGGTCTGCGCGGGACTGTTTTTTTAGTCCCGCTCCCGCAAGGTTCTATTCCGCACCCACCCGCTCCCGCTATATATTCACTCTTTGTTCACCCGCTGTCGGCTTAGAATAATTTTCTTCCTGACCCAACCGTTTCCGCTACTGAAAGAAAGAGAGATAGGCTGACAAATAAAAGTGTAGTCTGCACAAAATTGTATGTTTTTTTTTTCGTCTTGTCAAGAGTCTTGAATTTATTGACTTTAACTTGAATTTATATGAATTATCTTATGCAACACAGTAGGAAAAAAAGTGTCAGAGAAAATAAAAATGTTTTACAAAAATTGTATTTCTTATTTTTATTTGTCTTGTCAGGATACAATTCGTTTTAACATTGACAACACAATAGGAAAAAAGTGTCGCAGAGACAAAAAAAATTAAAATGTAGGTTGTACAAAAATAGCTTATTAGCTATTTTTAGCGCGTGCATAACAGTCCTGAGCGCAAGCTGTACCGGTGGTCAATAAGAATAAAGCGCAGATATGCTGTTCTGAATGGACGTCGGGAACGTTTTATTCGGGAATTTAATCCCGTGGTGCAAAAAATCTGGTCGGGTTCAGACCTCTAGATCAGGATAAATTGTCCTTATTTTGTCTTCTGGGAAACATGTATGCATTTATGTAGCTTCTGAAGTGCAGTACTAAATGAAAAAAACATGATCTTTAATCAAAATAAGAAAAATTTATACATCCTGTTCAAAAGTTTTTTATTTATTTATTTATTTTTTTTTACAAAGTTTTATTTTGTCTTGTGGAGTATATATAAACATCCGTTATGTGAAATAGCTTATTCAAGACAGTGCTAAATAAAAAATAACATGCAATTTTCATGATCCCTCTAATTTTGTTAAAATTATGAACATTTTGCAAGGGGTATGTAACTTATGTGCACAACTGTATAGCTCTGCTTGCAGCTGTAATTTAGACTTCATCTTTGAAAGAAATGACTGTTCCCCCTCTCTTTCTCTCACTCAAACCAATCTTTCGTTCTTTTTTAAAAGGTTTTTTAGACCCTGAAAAGAAGCTCTTCTCTCATCGCATCATGTCTAGAGATGAATGCATTGACCCCTTCTCTAAGACAGGCAACCTCAGGTGAGGCACGTTTCACTCTTTTCTGTCTTCTACTTCTGGAGTAGTGTAGCTCCCAGTGTCTTTCTCGTTACAGTTGTTTTCACAATGAACTTGCGTTCATGACATGTTGTAGATATGAACTTCATCATCAGCTTGTTGTTACAATAACATGAAGCATCACATTCAACTGATTTACACTACCATTCAAAGTTGTTATTTTTTTCAAATAAATGAATACTTCTATTCAGCAAGGATGCTTTAAATTAAACAAAAGAGACAGTGAAAACATTTATAATGTTACAAAAGATTTCTGTTCATCTAGGAATCCTCAAAAATATCAGTTTTCAACATTAATAATAAGAACCATTATTAATAATTGAGCTCCAATAATAATTGATAAAAATTGAGCAGCAATTCAGCATATTAGAATGATTTCTGAAGGATCATGTGACTGAAGACTGGAGTAATGATGCTGAAAATTCAGCTTTGATCACAGGAATAAATTACATTTTAACATATTACAATAGGAAACAGTTATTTTAAATAGTTCTAATATTTTACCATTTTATTTTATTTTTTTAAATGTATTTTTATCAAATAAATGCAGCCTTGGAGTACATAAGAGACTTCTTTCAAAAACATTTAAAAAATCCTGCTGACCCTGAACTTCTGAACGGTAGTGTGATGTCCACAATGTGTGACAGGACTTGATTTTACTCTTGCTCATATTTAGAGTAGGTCTTTTTATCCATTAATGTTTTTATTGACTGGTTGATTTATCTATTTTATTTCCTTATTTTTGTACTTATTCTTTAGAGTTTAATTAATTTTTAAAGGTCAAGCATCCAAAGAGGTTTTCTTGTTAAATATAAAGCTTATTCAACCTTGTATGAAAATGCTGCCAGAGTGTTTTTTCTTGACTCCAGCAGTGTGAACAAAGTGCTCGTGCACAGAAGAGATGTGTATTTCTGAAGGCCTTCAGAGAACTGCTCTGATTCAACTTGAGACTAAACGTGCTTTCAAGTGCAGATATAAGGTGCAGTCTTGCAGACCCCTGCTTTTTACCCACATCTGTATTCATTCGGCTCTGCATGACAAATCAAGAATACGGTGAACATTGAATACATTTAAGACTTCAATGTATTCGTTTATGCAGCATGATCTCGTTTCAGTTCATAATTCAGAAGAATTATGTATACTTTGAGCCCATAAAACAGTTTTGGGTGTTTTATTTTTTCTTATTTGGGTGTTCTTTCTGAAAATACACCCCATTTCTCTCAAGCGTTTCTCTTGTGCATCCTTCATGTTATTTCCTTTGAGGTAAAACACTCAGTCAAATGACTTGGAAAAGGGCACTTTAAGCTTACAATTTAAAAAGAAGCCTGTCGAGCATCTCCCCCGAACCACCTTTTTCTGTATTTATTGTATTACAGTATTTAAGTATGACTTATTCTGCTTTGGTTAACAAAAACATTCAAAGGCTTTCAGCCACAGTTGTTTGCTTTTTTTTCTTTTATGCAATAACTACGCTGGAGGAAATCCAATTCACTTCACTTTCCTCGTGTCAACTGTTAATATGTGTGGGTTTCATGTGGAGCTCTCATACTGACCTTGAAGGAAGAACAGTCTCCCAGAGCAGCCACTATCATACAAAGACAGTCACGATCGGACTTCAGCGGCACACAGATTACTCTCTTTAGGTCGATAAACCTACAGAAGCCAAGCCTCTGCAGCCCAATGCTTCTATGAGTGTGAATGACTTTGTTTGCCATTTCAAAACTCAAGCTGTTGGAAAGATGTTCTTGGGGGCTGTTTGGATGCACCAGACATTCACAGATCAATCTATACTCATTACGCTGTATACCCAGTGGCCTCAGATGCGTTTGGACGCCCAAGAAGTGCTTCAAAATGTCTGAATAACAAAGTTTCAAGGCATTTATTTAAAAGGTAGACGTTGTAAGACATAATTAACGTTAGTTAATGTGACTTTCTGCACCTGTGGTTCCTCTGCTAGGACACCTGTGTGAGCTTGAGGAGAGCGGACTTCATACAACCACTCAAAATCAGACCATTTAATTGTCTAAATAATTTTTGGCCAAACTATTTTTGGTATTGTACCAATGTTAATGTTATAAAATGCTCGTTGACATTTTGGCTGGCTGGCACTGTCTGGGTGCTGTTCATTTAGTCATAACCAACCACCAGCTGCTAAATATGAGCATCTAAAATTGTCAGTATGAGAACTGTGTGCTTTTTGCAGAAACTTGTTCCCCTGTGGAGACTCCATGGTGTGCATCATAGACGATAGAGAGGACGTGTGGAAGTTTGCTCCCAACCTCATCACAGTGAAGAAATATATCTACTTCCAGGGCACCGGTGACATCAACGCCCCACCCGGTTCACGAGAGGCCCAGATGGCCAGAAAAGGTAATGTTTATTTTCCCAGCGACTCTAATTAACAATAATGCTCAGCAAACTGGAAATTTGCCCTAGTTACATGGCCTGCGGTGCGCTTGTGGCATTCTGAAAAGTTGAGAGGTTTTTATCTCGCTGCAGCGCAGATGCGCCTGGAAAAAACGAGGTAGACGTTGCGCTCTCTATTTGCGAGCGCTTGCAACGTGCCTACATTTGAAATAACGAACTTGAGCGAGCAAAAGACGCGATATGTGAACGGCTCCTTAAAATGCTATCTGTGTAGGCGGCTCACTAGGTATCGGAACACAGCTATTCTTCTTCTGTTCAGACTATCAATGCGAGTATTTCCTGGTTCATTTTTATTACAGATAAATTTTGGTCACAAGTATTACTGAAGAAGTAAATTAGATTTGCTTCAGATTGCAACATTTTTTGGAGTGGAGAAGTAGTTCCGCTCGCTCTCCAGCAGGGAGGGTTTAATAAGAAGCGACGGTGGTGTTTTAATAAAGGTGTGCGTGTGTGTGACCTCTCTCTGTGAGCTCTGAAATAATCTGCTTACCAGAGGACAGGAGCGCACCGCATTTTACAGCAGTTCCAGGAAACACGCTGCCAGCAGAGGTCAACGTGCCAACCAGCAGCGGGATCTATTAAACTGATCTGCTCCTGCACAAACTAAAGACAGTTCAGGAGAATATACAGAGGCTGAAAGTACCTCTACCTCTGTCTGTCTAACAGTCAAAAGAGCTGTTTGAAGTGAGTCCCTGAGGGCTGGATACACAGGAAACAAAGTTACAGGGAGAACGGGTTCAAGAGGAGCTTCTCTTTTGAATGTTAAAGCATATTTGTGGTTGACCTTCTGTCTGTACATGGTGTGAGGGATGCGCAAAACAATTTTTTTTTTTTTTATCAATTAGTGAATGTTTGTCTGACCAACTAGTGGTCTAATCTTTTGACTTTAAGGCCCATTGTCCACAAGAGTATCTATATCTATAGTTTTTATAAATTAAACAATAAGAGTAATAATAGTTACATAATTAAAAATAAAATAAATCAATTTCAGGACTCTAGAAGTTTTAGGAGCTGAATGTTCTTCAGGGAATATTTAATGTAGTGTTGTCACGGTACCAAAATTTCAGTATTCGGTACCAATCGGCAACAGTGTTAAAGCAGCCCAATTCCGCGGGAAAACCACAGACTTGGCAACACTGGAAGAGGATAGCTTCCTGATAGCGCATCAAGAACCGGGTTGACCGGGTACTCGGTACCACCGGTACTTAAAAAACCTGGTACCGTAACGTTTTCATTTTTTTAGTACCGACTTGGTACCGAAATACCGGGTCTTTTGACAACACTAATTTAATGACTCTTCCAATTTTTTAGAGCTTGGCATAATTAATAACACTGTGCCTGTGTTCACACACAATATCAAGTAGATCATTTGGCTGTATGAATACACTAGTGTATGTGTAAAAAAACCTACTTTGAGCTTAATTGATTCATTTACCTGACTTTTCTCGGTCTAGAAAATAGGGGTGTGCAAAATTGTCGAATATTCGGTCTGTATTTATTATTCGAAAAATAAAAACACTATTCAAATTTTACTACGTGTTGCTTTGCTGGCAGTAGATGCAGGGAATCCGGGATAAATCCTGAAGCCAGGCATACATGGTGCGATTTTTGCTGTCATACAAGCTCGTACGCAATTTTTTTTCCCATCGGGAGAAATCGCATGGAAATCGTTGATGCTCATATGGCCGTGGCTCGCATCGTGTGAGAGTGATTTACGAGCCGAGCGCCTCACGTGCTCCCGATCATTTTTAAACATGTCAAAAAAGTTCGGGAGCTGTCGGCTTGAATTCGTGAGGTGTGCGCAGTAGAACGAGCCGATTTGTCGATCTATATAAAGTTGACCAATCAGGAGCTCAGGAAAACGACAGAAGAAGAAAGACGATGGCAGCGCCATGGTGAATTTGGACTATTGAAAAGGAAGACAAACTACTCACTTATTTTTTTATTTTTTTTATTAATGCTCAAAAACAGTATACAAACAGTAATACAACCATCAACAAATAAAAAATGATAGACAATGACAAGAAAAGAAAAGAAAAGAAAAAGGGGGTGATTAATACATTACAAACTGAAAAAACAAAAAAACAATTTGATACTTACATGTCATTAAAGACAGGAAAAGATTTATAAACATATAAAGTTTTAAAAGCTTTTTTGTTCTTAGACAATTGGATCAATGAAAGGTATTGCTCATATTCTTTCATGAAAACGAGAGAGGTCTCGCTGAACTTTGGCAGAAGCAGCGAACGCTGTATAATGTCATGCAGTGTGTACCATGAGTCGTCTGAGATGATATTTTACAGCGGATCGCTCAAGAGCTACAGTTATCAGGTGAGATGTAGCACGTATAGGTAGCTGCTTTTTGTTAGCTATAGCGTGTAACTAGGCTTTATAATTCACACACACACGGGGTGATCAGACATCCCAGTTTCCCAGTGCTGAAAAAGAACCCGTATGTCTCGTATCAGTATTATACAGTTATGAAAGAGAGAGAGAGAGTGAGAGCGGTTTTATTTAAATGTACTACATATAGGTTACACAGTTTATTATACACTGCCCTTCTCTCAACTCAACTCCGTTCAATACATGTCATTACATCAGAGAACTTCATGCTATTGCTTCGGAATTCGGCAGGTCGTAAAATCGTGTCGTATACCACTGCGTCCGTATGATTTTCAGATAAACTCACTCGTGACGTGTGCGTGGACATACAATCCTCCGACCGTCAGAATTCTATGGAGCCAGATCAGCCTCAAAAATAATACATTTACAAAACAAAACATAACCGTGTACGGCACCGTGTACGCCTGGCTTAAGCACACAAACTAAAAGTCATTTAGAACTAAATGCATGAGTGGCGCTGTGGAGCGCATTAACAAGTTGATTGTATTTGATCACAGAATGTCATCGTCTGCCTGGCGAAGTTTGGAATTACTCTGATCAAATTAATCTGTGAAACTGAGTTATGATAATATCATCACCACAATGAGAAATCACATGAAATCCAAACACCAGTGGACTGAGGAAACACAGCTGTCCATCACTGCAGAAGCGCAGCTGTACTCAAGGGAGAGAGGTTTAAGAACAGAAAACACAAAGCGCTGTAAGAAGCTCTGCTTAGCACACCGTTATCTTTGTGTCTCTGGAACGTCTTTGCGGCACACTTTCTAAGTGTTATCAGACTGAGGAACCAACTTTCATGTGGATATTATTGTTTTTCTGGATGCAGTACTACTCTATAGGTACTAGGGATGTGCATCTCATGACTCAGGCCGATACGATATGCATCTCGATGCATAGCCAACGATACGATACATTACAGATACATATGAAGCAGCTACCAATGCGATGCGATACGATTCACCCCATTACGATGCAGTGCGATTCGATTCAAGTTCAACATGCAATTCGATTCGATGCAATGGAGAAAATTTGATCACTTTTAATCATGATATTACCACTCTCTCACATACTATTATTTGACTTTTTTTTTTCTTTTTTTTGTAACAGTTTCTTGCCATGCAGCCTTTCTCTCTGGTAGTGAGATTGTGTGAATTTAATTTGTCGTTAATGGAACCGCTTTTTCCTCAGGTCTCTGTAGTGTTGTGATGCCTCATATTCACGCAGCAGCAGCGGTGATGAGAGAGCGCGCTTGAGAAACAGTTTGGAGAGGAGAAATCAATCTACATATAAAATATTGGTCACAGATTATTGGTCACTTTCTAAATAATAAAAGTATAGCGCATCCACTAGTAATTATGTATAAATAAATAGGTTTTTACCAATGCAAATATGTTAGAAACGATGCATCACTATATAAATGACAACTTGTAGCCGATGCACACTTTTTAAACCGATGTATATATATGTATGTATCCATCCCTAATATATATATATCATTATATCATCAAAATTTAAGGGGGTCTGAATACTTTCCGTACCCACTGTATATATAAGAAAAGAAAACCTTGAGATATAACGTAACGTTGTTGTAAAAAATTGTTGTGTATGATGCCTAATCATAAGCTTGTTCAGAAATGGTGACAAAAACTTGATTGTTAAAAAAATAACGTCTTTCTCGTTAAACGTCATTTAAATAAACAAATATTAGAATATTAGTTTTTTATGAGCCCAAATATTCGAATACAGTATTTTTGAAAAATGCCCATCCCTAATAGATAAAAATCACATTTTTGAAGTTGAGTTTTCGAAGGCAGTGAGAATCTTGGTTCTTCATAAGGAAACAAAAAGTTAAGTTGTTTTTGAAGTTGTTTTGTCTGACATGAAAAATAAATATCTTGATTTTTCGTTGTTTTGTCTTATTTTAAGTAATTGTAAGTAAACTAAAACTGAAACTACATTTTTTTTAAGTTTTGTTACTTGGGAAAAAAAATGAATGGAAATAAAATATAAAAAACGTATTTCAGCTAGTTGCCTAGGCAACATTGCATCATTTTAATTTAGTTTAACTTGATGTACTAAAGTAACTAAAACTAATAAATAAAAATGAAAAAAAAAAAATATATACAGTATATATAAGAAAAACAACTAAAATAACAAAAACAACAAAATAACAAACTTTTACAAAAAAATGAATGAAAACTGAAAATATAAAAATAAAAACTATAATAGTATCTCAATGGTACTAGAATAACATTGCCCCCTAGTGGGCCCTGGCACTAGTAGGTCTGAAACACTGTGTAATATACAGCTGTTTTAGAGTCGTCGCTGCACAATATATGCAATATTTTTATGAAAAAGTATGTGTTAACTCTGTTTACAACCATCTCTTAAATTCATGGTACATACAGTAGATTTGCTTCAAGTAAGACATGTTAAATTGTTACTCAAAAGTACCTAAGCATTGTTTCTGTTATCATGCTGTAGGTAACCAGGCTGGGCGACCTGCAGAGAACCTGGAATCGTCAGGACAGGAGGAACAGAGAAACGGCCTCAGGATATCCAGCAAGGACCGAAAAACTGGGCATGAGGAGTCGTCCCCCTCTGCCACCACCACTCAGGGAGCACCAGCCAATGAGAGGACTCACCCCGCAGGGGAACGGCCCAATGACAGCACCGATTTAACTGACAAGTGTAATGTGAAAGCGGAGGGGGAGGGCAGCTCAGGTGAGACTGACACCCCAAATGCTGCTGCTGATGCCGCTGCCAACGACCTGGATTTTGACCTTTCGAGCGACAGCGAAAGCGAGGGTAAAACAGGATTATCTGACAGCGATGGCGAAGGACGGCCGGTGGATGCTGGGAAAGCCAAACAAAGCCAAACAAAAACCGAGGAGTGTAAAAGCAAAGAGGATGGTGAGGAAGGGGACAAACAGAGGACAGAGGGGGACGATGTTCCAGAAACAGATCCCGAGGGTCTCGGTGATTTGGGCAACGGCTGTTCTGACAAGAAAGAAGTGGAAACAGAGTCTCAAAACAGCGAGCAGTCAGGCGTCACAATGGGTGAGGAGTCTTTAGATCACAGTATGGACGATGAGGAAGAGGAAGACATGGACCAGGACGACCACCTCATTTACTTGGAGGAGGTTTTGGTTCGCATCCACAGTGAGTATTACTCACGCTACGAGGCCTTCCTCACGAAAGAGAGTCCAGAGAGTCCGGACATACGGAAGATCATTCCCGAACTGAAGGGCCACGCGCTGGCGGGCACCACCATCATCTTCAGTGGCTTGTATCCCACCAACTACTCAATGGAGCGCACGAGGGAGTGGTACCACACCAAGGCGCTGGGTGCCAAGCTTGGCAAGACCCTGGTGCTCAATGCCAAAGACCCAAACCTCACCACCCACCTTATTGCTGCACGTGCAGGTGAGTCTCGCATGCTTCAAACACCAGTTACAAAGGGATGTTTTCAAAAGTGAGTAGTCGGTGTGTTGTTTGAACAACTAGTCGTTCTTAAAGTCCCCATGAAATCAAAATTAAAGTTTTGTGGGTGTTAGTATCAATATGTTAGTCTTAAGGTTATCGATAAGGCATTGTGCTCCAAAACAGTGACAAAATTCGCATTTAGAAGATATAAGCATTCAATCAAAGCTTGCAGTTCGTCACTTCCGCTAAAACGATTTTTTTGACATCACATCGTACTTCAGCTTCTCATCAAACTTTCTGTCCAATCAAATGCTCTCTAGAACCCGAAGTGCCCGCCCCCTGCACTATAAAATAGACGGTGAAGCCGCAGCTGAAATCGGTCACTTGTCCACAGAATTAGTATTTTCTGTACAGTGAATGGCACGTAGTGCACTATATAGGGGACAGGGAATGATTCAAACAGTGTAAATATGCTTTCCATTTAGGAAAATAAGAAGTCTGGTTTCACGCTGTGTCGCGCTAACCACCGCACCGCACACACACTCTGCTCCGGTCCAGAGACACAATAGCACGGAGCGGATCACATGCGCTAGTCGGCGCAGACCACAAAATGTATCGGTGCTATTTGAATTCTACACAGAATGCTATATTTTGTATGCTGGTGCCACTCATATGCCACCAAGCAATGCTTTGTGTGAGGTTGAGATTTATTATGAACCGTTTGTTAATGTGATGAGCAGATCTCATAGATGTGTTGATTAGTAATTATTTAAGCCGTATATGACTCAACTGATTGGTGCCTTATGTATCATGAGTAGAGGAGAAGAACTTTGTCTCAACTCTCTGCTCTCAGAGAGGTCAGCACAAATGATGGCCATAGTGAAATGATGAGCGCTTCAAACCATGTGGAAACCCATCACACATTTGTTTTGTGTCACTTCAGAGCAGGTTTGTTTCTCTCTAATTGCTCGTTATCTGTAAGAGAATGGCGTTGTCATTTCTCACCTGTTTGTAGCAGCACAGAATTTGGATGACACTGTTTCCTGTACGGTCCAGGTGTGACTCAGCACCTGTCAGAGATGTCTCTGGTACTATGGTGTCCTCTTTTGTGCAGCTTGACTGACTGTAGACACTCCAGAAAAAACATTTCCACCAGTAGCACAAGGGCTTTGCTTTATATGCACAGCACAATTTTAATTTTGCGTGTCAGTGAGGATGTCAGAATATGACATTGTCTATTGATTATATATAACAGCCAGAGTTTGCTGTACGATCTGAATCAATGACATGATACACTTTTTTTTTTTTTGATTCACATCCATAATTTTTTTTTAACAAATGCATAAAAAATTTAATTCATACTTACGATGACTTGAACATGAACATAGTCAAAATTCTTGGGGGAAAAAAAACTTGCCATCATATTTTATAATTGCTGTATTTCCTAAAAAATAAGTGACAGAGTTTTAAATTCTTATAATTTATAAGTGTCTTGAAACCGTTTTGTCTGCCAAATGGAAGTCTTTTGGTGCAACCAACATGCAGTGAAACTAAATGAAGCAAGAAATGAAATCAAGTTGTCAAGGTCAGCAAGTTTTATTTTATTTTATGAATTAAATAGAATTCTTTAATATAAAAAAAAAAATTACCGTAAAATATATTTAAAAAGTTTTTTAAAAGGTGATTAAGATGTGTACAAAGTGTGTATTCCAAGTGTAAGAAAAACATGTTATTATTTAATAGTTACCACATGACATTTTTAAAGTCGTTCAAATTGAAACTTTTGAAAATGATATACCATAAAAAAACAACATAAATACAGGATATATATATATATATATATACCTGTATATATATATCAGTGACAAATAAGACACAATAAAACTTGTATTTTAAATTTGAAAAGATTCTTTTTCCTTTCCTTTATTTGTCATTGACTCACGTATCATGCAGATCATATAATTTATGATGCTCTATTATTTTAGCATCATACATGAGCTGCTGTTTCTCTTTAAATGTATTATGCAGAGTGTTAATAACAGTAGCGGAAGCAGCATAAGGTCGACATCAAGTCTGACACACAGAGCTTCATGAACTTTATTTATTCAAACTCAGTTGAGTCTATTGTTCCTCATCTGTGCTCATCTCGACACTCTCCACCCCCGAAGAAGCCCCCACACACACACACTGGACGATCAAGTGCAAACGTAATTACTGTCGAGTGCTGTCTAATTGGCCACCATTAAGCATTAAGCAAACATTTCCACACTCCAATGTCACCACACTGTCGTTTTAACTGTTATCGTCCCCCCCCCGTTCGTCTGTCAGCGCCCTCAGCTCTGCCAAACACCACGACCACAAGACACTTTTAATGTTGAGCAGCTAATGAGAGGAGGAGTGGAAGGAAATCCACAAAGCCAGACAGGAGAAAAAAGAAGCAGAGAGCTGCCAAACTTTCTCTCCCTGTACTGTATATTTTTTTGACAGCTTTTCACAGATCTCAGCCTTTGGTGCCAAATTATTTGTCTGGTGGCTGGCTTGTGTAATTGCGTGGATGTCCTTCCCGCTTTCTGATCTATCGTTTATACAGACACAACTTCACACATGATCAATTCAGACAAGAGCGGCCAAACAGGACGTTCCGTAATTAAAGTCAGTAGGTGGGCGTGAGCAGATTTAATTAATGTCCTATTTGAACCGACATGATTAGTGTTGTTTGAGAGGACAAGCATCACTTTTGCTCATGGCACTATACTTATTTAGACTACACTGGGAGAGAAGTATATATGCATATAGATATAGATAGCAGACGCAGTCAGAGTTGCGCATGCAGAACTAAACCACTGAAATTCTGTTTTAGAACTTTGTAGTTTTATAAACTTTTCAAACTTTGAATGTATTTTCGATAGCTAGGAGCAGTGATCGAAGTGGAGGAATAGAAAAGTGTGTCTTGGCATTTTGCATTTGGTTGTAAACATTTATTTGTTTATTTTTATCTGTTTTCTTTTGCTGTGGCACTGACTACATTCCTCGCTGCTGATAGTGGAGTGAGAAACACTGGCCAGAAACATACAGATGGAAAGTGTGTTGTTTTTTTATGTATGCGTGTCTCCGTCAGGTACCGAGAAAGTTCGTCAAGCTCAGGGCTGTAAACATCTCCATGTGGTGAATCCTGATTGGTTGTGGGCCTGTTTGGAGCGCTGGGAGCGAGTCGAGGAGCGACTCTTTCCGCTGAATGAGGACTATAACAAATCACACAGGTATTTATCTCTCACAGTCTGTCTGTCTTTCCTGCTTTTCTTTATCCTTTATGTTCGTGTGTGCCTTTCAGCATTAAGATTGTAAAAACAATATTCTGTTTTTTCAGTATTTTGTCGTGTCTGCTGAACGTTTCATTGTGCTTGAACTGCACTCACTGAACTGCAACACTCATGAATAGAAAATGACAAAACCTTGCCAAACAATCTTTCAGCTTGTACTGACTCCTGCAATATTAAAGAATTATTAGATTGAGTTACCCAAAATATCTCTCATTTTGTTCCAAATACACATGACTTGGAACACAAAAGGAGATGCCTTGCAGGTTGTTAATGGAAATGAATTGTGACCAGGACTAGTGGTGTCGAAATTAATAGTTTCTACGCTGCATCGCGATGCAGACGAGGACGATTAGGTATCGGTTCATTAATAGACCATAACTGATTATAACGTACTGATGCTTTTCTGATGTCATTTGTTGTGTACGTGCTTTGTCGCGGTACCATACAATGGCAGAGGGAGGCGAGACACGAGTGCGAGTAGTTTAAAAATGCACCAACTACTTTAAAAGCCGACATCTGGGCACATTTTGGCTTCTATGAACAACCTGGTAAGCAGTGCATCGTCAATGCATCGTGATATCGAATTGAACTGAATCGATGACATGATAATCGGAATCGAACCGAACCGTGAGACCAGTATAGGTTCACACCCCTAACTAGGACTGTCATGCAAGATCTTCAGTCATTCATCATTTGATATCATTTGGCTTCAGAAGACTTTACAGCACATAACTACACTAAATTGATATGAACTACATTTGTTACCTTTAAGGCCCGTTCACAGCAAGGACGATGCCTATAATGCTAAAGATAAAGTTTTAAACATCATTCTAAATTTAAAAGAATAGCATACACCGCAGATATAACGATTATAACACCAAGGAATGATATAATTGGAATCACAGTTTTTTTCCAGCTGATGAACGCCAATCAGAATCCACCCGACTTTAAAGAGCTTGAGCACTTGAAGTGGCAGATGACTAAACTGCCTACTTGTTAACAGAACAGTATCATCTGTTGGTGTGGACTCTAATACAGTTATTGTTATAGTTATCCGAATAATTATTGTTCTTAGTGTGAACAGACCTTTACGGTGCTTTTTATGTGCTTTATGTAACCTGTTCACTTAAGACTTTAAGGGTAATTTTTGACTGATTTCATTTAACTTTTTTTTTTTGGTTTAATGTAAAATGGTTTCTATCAGAGTTGTTTGAAAAAGAGTCTTAAGTGGTCATAAAAATGTCACCTTGACTGTTCATGGACAAAATTGACTAACTGTAGGAAGTTAATGGGTATATATATATATATATGTATATATATATATATATATATATGTATATGTGTATATATAT